CTTTTTTAAATTTCTGTGATTCAACCTCAAATGTGAAACAATTAAATGATATAGACCTAATTCTCTAAGTGACATGCCTTTGTCTGTTATAATTTTGATGATTTTGGGCACACTATCAAGTTGTTCCTTTCCGATACAGGACGGTCTGTGAGGATGACAGTGGTGATGATCCAGGACATTTATGGACATTGGTCATAAATTGGATTGATGTGTCTCACACTGTGTGTAATGAATCATAAATTAGTCCGACATTTACAGAAGTGAATAGAATTTTGAATGATATTTGTATTGTCACAATGTCGAGTGGATAGATCTAAAATCAGCTACAGGTCAGTCAATGGAGAACAATGTCGTAACATGGTTAAAAGCTCAAATGTATTAAAATGCATCAGACAGGAGAGGACTTTTGACCTTTTGACGCTTTGTAATCAAAAGCCAATAAAGGTCACACATCTGTCCCCATAAACCTCCATATATGATCCATCCTCACCCTCTTACTTTTTTAGTTCACGACCAGCACAAAGAGCCTCTTCAAGCCCAAAGTGCTATCCATTCCGTTGATAAGAACATTCATTTCTCTTCATCGCGTTGTCCTCCAGGAGAAAACCTTGGGGATCCTTCCAGAGCTCTGACAGATGAGGGCCCACCTCTGTCTGTCTCCACTAAATCAATGCGAGCTGGAGTCCGAGAGCAGAGATCCAGTGATGAGAGCGCTTTGTGAGACATCCCACTGCAGGGATCTGTCTCCAACGCCACAATATTCACAACTGAGAGGCCTTTCTTTCTGACCAAATTCATAATTTCTTTCTTTATCCTTTAATTTTAGTTGATAATAACTTTTTTCACATCAACTGGAAGGAGGCGTGGAAGAGGCTTGTATAGTAACCCAGTTAGTCATTCCAAGTTAATTCTTTCATACATTTTTTACCCCTTTATTAGTCAATTCTGGGTAGGGGTGGTGGGTCCTCAGGAAGATGACTTCTGCTCCATCAGTGGTGACATCAGTGGGAGCAGTTGGAGTAGATCCTATGGGGGGAACCCAAAACCTACAGGTTGTGGGTCCCCCCCCCCCAGTTTAGCTTCCAGATAAAGTTTGGTGAACCTGAAGGTTTTAACTGTGTCAATGGAAAGCAAATGTTGCAGTTTGTGGGGCCACCTGCATGTGAAAGCCAGATCCTGTCAGACCTGGAGCTAAGCAGGGCAGGGCCTGGTTAGAACAGTAATGGGTGACCTCTTGGAACACCAAGTGCCACAGTGGGGTGGCTGCAAAGTGTCAAACTGTTGTTGTGTCCTTCGGCAAGACACTTCATCCACCACTAATTCATTGATTAGTGGTGGTCAGAGACAATGATGGCACATACTGGCTGCGTTCGTTTTTCCTTTCGTTTTCGGTCTCGCCCTGTGGCGTGGGACTAGGCTCAGCGAGCACCACCAGTGAGCGAAGCCAGATCGTGCAGTGGGAGAACGGGAACTCTCCATGTCCGTGAGTACCTCTCAGACGCTATGGCTTCCGCTGCACTGAGCGGCCTTTGGCCTGGGCTTTCTGGTGTGTGTGAACGGGAGAGCTGGCCCTTTTGCCTCTCTGCAGGGAGCGGGATCTGCCCGGACCAGACACCGGAGGAACGCTGTCCTCCCCCCCTTTACACGCAGCAGCTATACGAAAGATTGGACCCACTCCGGAATGCCACTTTTTAAAATTAGCCTTAACTATATTTTACATACCCTTTTTAATATTTGATTGTATTATAATTATTTTACTCTTTTTTGGAAACACAGCTCGCTCTTTTAGTTCATAAAAGATCTTTTAGTCCGTAAAAGATCTTTTAATCGGCTCCCATTTTACACGTTTTTATCCGCCCCTCTCACACCAAATCCCCATTATAATATAAGTATTTCACTAGTACTGAGCTCAACTCCAGGCATCAGATCAGCAGTAATGCTGCACAGCGCTGCACAGTGCATGTTTTAATTAACTGACCAGCAGTTTTCAGATTTTTCAAGAGCAGAGACTTAATTATAGGTCATCTTCAGGCATCGCTGCAACATGTGGTCATTACAATAAGCTATTACAAAGACATTTGGGTTAGAAGTAAGAAGTGCCCGCTCTCTACTAATTGCCCCATGAAGTTTACACCCCCATCACTCCTGTCTGCGAACATGTACCTGGAGACGGATGAAGGCTTTTGTCATTCAGTCCAGGTTCTGCTGGTGAAGGGGGGGGCGCATGCACGCACGACAGGCTGGGGACAGGCAGGCTTGGGCGGCGGTTACTAATGAGCCTTTATGACCATCACGGAGACGCTCTCATGTATCTTTCATGGGCAAACAGCCTGTATGATGCATGATGCCGCTGTGTCCCGTCCTTAATGTGGGTCACTGCCCCGGGAAAACACACACACACACACACACACAAAACATAACAAGGTGTCTGATGGAGAGGGAGCCCACAGAATACATGGAATGGATATATTGGATAATGATTTACATAACAACAGAGAGAAATGCAACTGTTGGGCAGATGTCAACAGATGCTTGGATAGAGACGTAATGTTTATTGATGCATTCATATGGAATGGATAGCATGAATGGAAGATGAAAAATTGACTATAGACAGACAGTCAGTCTCACGCTTTCTTCTGTAAATGTTTGAAAATAGCAGGAGTTAAAAAGTTCAAATGGTGTAGTTCAGAAAGGTTTAAATACATAATTTACAATAGAAACGTTACAAAACATTTAAAACATAACAAGCAGGGTTGACATTTGAAGTAGATTTTCTTGTAAAATGTTGCTAATAAGTCTCTACATTCAAGGCAAGGCTTAAAACATTGCTCTTTAATTCAGCATATGGCTCAGTGAGTAAGACTTAGAAATAGAACCATAAAGGACTCCTATTACGCTTTTTACCTTTCTCTGGTTTAAACATGATTACAGTGTTATTTGGCCTTCATACACATGCCCAGTAGTTTTTTCATCATTCCCTCAAGCTTTGGTTGGAGAGCGATCTCTGTTTTTCATTCTCGAGACGTACAGAAACGAGTCGTTTCAAATCGTGACGTGCACCAATCTGTGACGTCAAAAGTCTGCCTCCAAGAGGTGATTGACAGCTCGAAACTGAACCAGCGAATCAGCGCAGTCTATGATCAGCGCATGCAGTCTCTCTCCGAGTCCAGCGTCTGGTCCATAGACAGTAGAAATTTAGAAAATTTGTTTTTGGCCCAAAGACACAGAGATCTGCCTCTGTAATCCGCGAGTCAGAAATCCGCCACGAAACTCGCAGATGTCACATCTGCGAGATGTCACATCTGCGAGTGACGGTGATACCTTAGCTCCAGAACTACGGTTACCTTGAAACAAAACTGATTCTGGATCGAGGATGGCTCTATGTGAGAGACTGCCATTGTTGGAAAAAGTTTATCCTCAGGTCCGAAATGAGTATGTAACAGCGAAAGCTGTATAGTTATTTTTCGAATACTTCTTTAACTGATAACAGTGGTTCAGCTGAGATATTCAGATTTCCACCTAAATCTTGTTATTGTTTTCATTTCAATGTCCCGCCCTCTGACTTTACCAATCAGAAAGTCTGTGCTCCGGGATGCCAGAACTCACTGACAAGTTAATCTTGCTGGTAAAGTAACATGTGGCTGCAGAACAAGGAATAGAACAAGGATTTCTATCGGGGCTGTTGTGAAAAAGGTGTGGGTCATAGGTTTGTTGTTGACAAAACTCTTGTCTATTCAGACAATATGGTCCCAGCTGGATTCGTCTGCATTTCTGACAACCTAAGTCAGGGAGAGAAGTTGCAGTACCACTTTTGGCCAGATTTGTACATATTGCTCCTTTAAAGGATTGTCAGTTCAGCTGCATTTGGAGACCCTTTGCTGGGAGAAGTATGATAACTTGAGCACTATCCTCTCCTCTCTCGTTCTTTATCTGTCATCATACAAAAAATAGATTGAATTGAAAAGAATGATAAGATAACCAGCTACATTTATAATTTATACTATGGGGCAAATAAGTATTTAGTCCAGAGGTGTCCAAACTGGTCCAGAAAGGGCCCAGCAGGAGCAGGCAGACTCTGCCCATTTCCTCAAGTTACTTCAGTCTTAACCTGAAGATTTGAAGAAATGGGCGGAGTCTGCTCTGCTCCTGCTGGGTCTGATAGAAAACCTGCAGCCACAGCGGCCCTTTCTGAACCAGTTTGGACACCTCAGATTTAGTCTGTCACCAATTTAACACCATGCCTACTTTAAAGCATGGAGATGGAAAGATCATGCTTTGGAGCTGTTATTCTGAAAGAAAGAAGGATTGAGGCCACGTATCCAGAAGTTGTGAGTGAAAACCCCCTTCCATCAGCAAGGGCATTGAAGATGAAACGTGGCCGAGTCTGTCAGCATGAAAGTGATCCCAAACACACTCAAAAGGTGCATTTCAAGGTTCTGGAGTCGTCTAGTCAGTCTCCCATAGAAAATCGTTGGGCATTCGTGTTGCCCGTCGACTGCCCCAAAAAATCTAGAATTCATCTTCATGGAGGAAGGGGCCAAAATTCCAGCACCAGTCTAAACCTTGTGAAGAGTTACAGAAAACAACAAACAATTGACCTCTGTCATTGGAAATATTACAAAGTATTGAGATGAACTTTTGTTATTGATTAAAAAAACTTATTTCCCACCATAATTTGCAAATACATTTTAAGATGTATTTTTTCTCAAAGTAGAGGTATACCTATGATGAATACTGGCATCTCTCATCTTGGACTGACTAAATACGGTTTTGCCTCAATTGCAGCACGATTCTGCAGCATTTTTGAACATGGTATGGGCCAGATTCCCCGGTGTTGGATCAGCGTCTCTTAAAATGCAGAAGTTTTAACAGTGACAACAGGCTACCCTCTGATCTGCCATTTAATCAGCATAAAACAGCACTCACATACATAGTCAGTGCACAGCTGTCTTTGCGGGAGGCTTCTGAGAACAGAGCAGGGGAAAGTAGCAGAGCGAGTTCTAGTCAACAGGATTACAAACAGACGTCATGTCGGAGAGGACAATGTCTTTGTATTTGTGCTCCAGACTCTCCATAAAGTCCAAATAGTCGCAGATTCGGAAACCCTGGATCGGCTCCTCCTGAGGGCACAAGAGAAAACCACATTTAGATAAATATGTTGTATTCAAACACTGTTTAAACAGGAAAGTCCTATTTACCTCAAGAACCTCTTTTTAAAGTTTAAGTACGAGCCAAAACGGATCATCATCATCATCAACACATTATTTCAACTTTGGCAAAAATGTGTTGAAACCTGAAAACACTGTTAAAACGGTCGCCTGCAACAAGTGAAAGCCGGGCCAGTCAAAACTCAGGCGGGACAGGGCCTGGTTAGTGCTGAGATATCTGGGAACACCCGGTGCAACAGTGGGGCAGCTTTGATTTGATTGGAGCTAAACATGCAAGACTGTAAGTGATGAAAATAAATTTGGCCAATGTATCTTAATTTGAGCACATTTGGAATGCCTAAAAACAAGACTTGCCAATGGGACAAGCAAAATGATCTTGTAATATAAAGAATAGGGCTGTCAAATGATTAAAATAAATCGAGTTCATTACAGCAAAAAATTAATTAATCGTAATTAATCGCATTTTGCAAAAAATGTATGAATCGTAATGAATCGTATTTTGAACTATCAACAAAATTGCCATTTTTTTTGGTAAATGGTTGTTTGAATGGAAAGATAAATGACAACATAGTGTACATATGTACTGTATTTGTTTATTGTAACAACAATAAATCCATATAAAATGGCATTAACATTTCAACATTCAGTCCAAAGCTATTGTTTGTTACAGGGATGAGGGACATTTCAACAAAGTCTTCAATGCAGAATGTCATTAAATCTGTTTGATTTGCTCACAACTTTCTACTTTTGGGCACAACCAACATGAACTGTTAATGCAAGCTGCTAACGCAGCTGTCCCGGGTCAGAGCGCTTAGGCCACAGAGGATGTGTTCATACATCAAACAGCAAGTGCCCCGCGGTCACGCTCGTATTCTTTTTAAAATTTAATTTCCAGAGCGCCTACCTGCTCTGTTGACATGTTACATGCGTATGTGTTATCAAACCACTTCCTCGGCTCCTTTACAGTTCTTTGTCACTGTACTTGTTTATCTGACCTCAGTAGGCCTAAGAATAGACAAAACTAATATAGAAAACCACCAGTCTTTTGGATTTGCACAAAAGCTTACCATGTTGTTGTGCGTTTCCTAGCAACTCATAAGCATTTGTTTGGTCCATTCGCGTCTCAAATTAAAAGCAAACGCACACACAAACACTAATTTCGAAGTGCCATTTTTTTTGCCCATGTGTGTTGTAGATGCTTGATAACCACGCCACGTCAAAACCTCATTACTCCGGCGCTAAGTCAGGATGTTGTTTACCGACGCGGCACTGCATTCAATTCGCCGATTTAATTTGATTTCTTGTGACTTGGAAATAGATTGAATGTAAAGCATTTTAATGAAAAGGTTTGCTTAAAATTTATTCAGTCTCGACGCGTGAATGACAATCACAGACATCAGTTTTATTCTTACTTTTTCTTACTTTTGTACGATATGTTTCTTCCTTTGTAAAAACTGACACAGCTATTACCCTAATCTTCCTCATGCTGAAATAGACACTATAAACTTACGAATCATAAAACCAAGGCTGGTTTAACCTTGACCCAAAGTGACCGCAACTTTTTGTTGGATTTTGAATTTGTTGATATTAAGTAAAGGCAAGATTAATAACGTATAATATTTATAATGTGTTTGAACATTAAAATAAATTAAAAAAATAACTACAGCTGCTATAATGTGTGGTATTAACCCATGATGAGGGCACCATATCTAAAAAGTCCAATGATGCAAAGTAAAACTCAACTATCAATCTGAAAAAATGTACAGACTGGCCACATGTTTGAGATCACAGCTTTAAGGCCATAAAAGTGGTCTTCAACACTGTTAATAAAATTCCTATTAGATACAGGATGGTAAATTACACATTTGTCATTGCAATTGTGTGTCTCTACCTGCATGTGAAAGCCAGATACTGTCAGACCTCTGAAGCTATGAAGGGCAGGGCTTGGCCAGTATCATGATGGGAGACCTCTGGGATCATTAGCTGTCACAGTGCGACGAACTGTTGTTGTTTTCTTAGTCAAGACACTTAACCCACATTTCCTTGAATGAGTCTGGTGTGTGTGAATGGTAGGTGGTGGTCGGAGAGGCTGATGGCACATAAAGATTACCTCACTTCTGTCAGTGGCAGCTGTGGCTATTGTCGTGGTTTATCACCACTATGTATGGAGTGAAAAAAATGACATGTGAAGCGTCTTTGAGTGTTAAAAAATGTGCTATATAAAACCAATGAATAGTAATAATACATTGTTTTTTTTATAGCACTGGTCTTACTCTGCACTACTTTCTTAAGGAACTTCAGAGCTACATGTACATGTATTTCACATAAACTATTGGTTTAAGAAACTGCTAGAATCTTCCCTCTAGGTGCAAAGAAAGTACAGTAAGGTTATATCAGCTTTTATAAGACCATTATGTGCCGTAATGAACACGCTAATTATACAGATTTCTCCTTTTCTCAGGCCTGTCTTCACTTGACAAATGAGTGGCATTATGTGTGCTGTAAATGAGCACAACTCACAGAGGACTGCATCAATAACAGCCACCCTGTTTAAAGAGGGACTGGTTTACGGTTACGACAAGTAATCAGCCAGATTATTACTAAAAAAAGAAATATTCACTATTTGTAGGAACTATTATCATTGTTGTTCGTGTTCGTGCTGTCTCTACCAACAACAATAAAACATGACTTTTGTCCGAATTAAAGACACAATCCCAGACTTTGCATCTTCTTCAAACTGTTTAAATTAGAAAAAATGTTTATAATGTCACTGCATGGATCAAAGTTTTATTCCTCACGTCATTTCCTTTTTCAAGTTTTAATTGAGATAATATACAGATCCACCCCCTGTTGCGATGGGCGTCAGATCCTGAGAGTGCGTTTTAAAAATTACAGGCAACATCTGTGTTCGTTGCCTCTCCCCTTCGTCTTCCTCTCTCCTCCTGACGTCTGCGAGGTTCACGTGGGGACAGGAACGGTTCGAGTTGGGTGTAAAGCCAGTCATTAGAACAGCTTCCACGGATAAAGCTCCACCATTTATGTTTTATTCAGAAAAGTGTGAGGGCTCCGAACAGCCGAGCCATCAGAAAAGACGCTGATTATTGAGTAATGAGGAGGAGGCCCGCGGTTCACTTACACACTGTTCAGATACAAAACCAGATTCAAGTCGATTCAATAAAAATCCTTTGTTACTATAACTATTATTATTTAATCGTTTCAGAAAAAATCATAGTGAAATACTATTATCTTGACAGCAAGCTATTTATTTTCTCACAATAAAATGTTACATTCCTGAAAAGCAAAGCACTGTATAATTGTCTCTAAGGTTTATGGACATGTAAGATTAGACAAATAATAGCATATTTTGCATTTATGTAAATTATGCAAATGTATTTAGTTTTTATAGCTTTCTCTTGTTTTTGATGTTTGGTCCATAGTACATGGGATGACCAATGTTCTTGAATGTTAATAATTGTCAGTAGAAATTTGAGACGGCACCTAAACTGTCAGATGGCAACTTTTCTTGAAAAAATTGTCTATGTGATGAGGATTCCATCTCAGCAGTATAATTTAGTTCCTATTTTATGTATTTTTCATTGCCTGATGTAAAACTACTGATTTTTTTTTTCTCCAGGGGTTCCAGTACAATCACTGACCAAGAAAAGTCATTGATTGTACTAATTTGAGCAATGTTGCATCTTTTGTCCCTCAGTCGCACTCACAAACACACACGTATTCATCCTAAACTAAAATGTACATGTGTTTTTAGTGGTGGGGGAAACCGCAACACCCCGAGGAAATCTACATAGACACAGGGAGAACATGCAAACTCCCCTTAGAAAGTTTGTTGTTGAGAGTTTTCATAGAAAAACAACTCTCTACTTTGGGAAAATATGACACAAGTATAATACTTGATTTGAAACAGTTAATTTTGTTTACAAATGTTTTTAAGCTGATCCAGAATATGATAATTATCTTGTGATTATTAGATTTTCTGTATTATAGTTACAATATTTCCCCAATATAAACCAGAAGGGAGAAACAAACTGCAACTTTGCTACAATTCTCAGAGCATTCATTTTCTTTTACTATTGACCTGAGCGGCTTGAACACTGAAGACTTCCACTGTGGGAGAAATAAAAGCGGATTTAATTTTATTTGACTTTGTAAATCAAGCCCTAAGTGTGGAACAGCTTTGCTTATTGTCTCGTCTCAGTCGCTCCAATAAAAAGTCAATGTAACAACAACCCTTATTACCACAATACAAGCTTTTGCACAGACTATAAGTACATACAAAAAAGTTTGCTTTTAATATGATGAAGTCACTTGTCACTAGGGATGTAAATCGGTGACCGTTTAACCGGTGGTTGACCGTCACAGCGTTAACCGGTCAAAGCTCTCGGTTAAAAATAAGATAAGGGGGAGAGGGGAGGTCTCTTAATAACGCTATTTTAAGCCCTATTTGCACGGTGTGACAAGCGGGTCCGTATCTAGCTGTGCGCGCCAATGTATCAGTAAACTCCGGGACGACTCTCATGCCGCATGCGCCACATATGCACGCACACATGCACATGCATGGGCGCGCACACACACACACACCCACACTTCTCCCCCTCCATTGATACGTAACATCCACACGCATCATCTCTCCCCTCTGTTACCGCCAAAGTTGCACACTGGTGCGGGTCAGAACTACATTGGAGCTTACATTTATACACACACACACACACACATATACACACACACACATACCGGTCTGTCGCGCTCCTCTGTGTCACACAGCTCGACGGATCCTCGCAAATACGCGGCTTCAAAGCGTCAAAGCACATGGAACATGTTTGTGCTGATGGTCCTTGTCAGTAGATCAGCTCCACACACATCATTTGTATTTAAACTTTAGAGGAGACCTGCGAGACGCGGCTCGTCACTCGTTGCTCTGACCATGTGAATGAGCCGCTTTTTGCTGCTAAAAAGCTTTAACCCGCAGCACAGAAGAATGGGAAGATTAAAAAAGCAGTTCTCTGTGCGCAAAGGTGCCGAAGCTGTTGCGGGTTTTGCTGCCGCTGTCTCGGCTCTGATCCAGTAGAATGCATAGCTGCACTTTCGAGAAGTACGTGGCTCGAAATGGCTGTTATTTCAAAGAACGTCTAATATTTTAAACTATGCGGTTAACCGGTTTCAACCGGTTAATGAGGCTCGGTGGTCGGTCATGAAAATTCATAGTTTTTCACATCCCTACTTGTCACACAGAATTATATTATTCAATTATATTTTGAGTTATACAAATTTAACTCTACAACACAAAGTAACAGTATAGTCTGTTACTTTGAGTTGGAAAGTGATTTTTCTCAATCTTCAGTGTATTGAGGAAAGATTAAAACATGTGTGGAAAAATTCTAATTAGAGCCAGGTCCAGGAGGTTTTATGACAACATCAAAATTGAGAGAGTCAGAATTCAAACCACACAAAAAGGCCTAGAGGAATGTAAGAAAGTGATTTTTATTTTTATAGCACCTATCACAGACCAAAGGCTTACAAATGCCTACAAGCGCTTAAAGGAATAGGCCACCGTTTTTACATACTGACATATGTTCTTACCTTACCTTAGACTAGTTGATATGTACCTGTCTGCTCTTTGTCCGTGCGCTCTGTCTTGCAAACGGAGCACAAACGCAGCCTCTTCCACAGACTGTATAGTTCCAAATCAGCTCCCGTTAGAAGCTACCAAACTCTTCCACGTGTTCCCTATTTAAATACAGTTACGTGACGTGTTACACTACAAAGTATAGTAACACAGAAATGTAACATGTTGATTTTCTCAGCGGATAAAAAGGGGTACTATATTGTGAGGCGTAATAATACGAGGAGCACTACATCCGCGCACTAACTCCTAAAGACTTCTCTCCCGCTCACTTCCGTCAATAGAAGCAGCGTGAGCGGGAGAGAAGTCTTTAGGAGTTAGTGCGCGGACGTAGTGCTCCTCGTATTACTACGCCTCACAATATAGTACCTCTTTTTATCCGCTGAGAAAATCGGCATCTTACATTTCTGTGTTACTATACTTGGTAGTGTAACACGTAACGTAACTGTATCTAAATAGGGAACACGTGGAAGAGTTTGGTAGCTTCTAACGGGAGCTGATTTGGAACTATACAGTCTGTGGAAGAGGCTGCGTTTGTGCTCTGTTTGCATGACAGAGCGCACGGACAAAGACCAGACAGGTACATATCAACTAGTCTAAAGTAAGGTAAGAACATATGTCAGTATGTAAAAACGGTGGCCTATTCCTTTAACACTTGCAGGCATTTGTCTCTCACTCCACATAGTGATGGGAGCGGGGTTGCCATACAAGAGGTGCATGCCAGAACATATTGTTCATGATTTTAGTGGTAGGGGAAACCGGAGCACCCATGGGGAAACCTACCCAGGCACAGGGAGAAAATGCTTATGTAACCCAGGTGACAAATCCTGCTAGTGTTTTTCCCCTTTGAATATACCACTGCTTGGCCTACTGCTTGCTCCACCCATTAGCCAATCAGATCCCTTCTTGCCAATGCATGGTTTTATTGGTTAGAGGAAAGCAGGTTCAGGAAGTGCTGTGGGGGAAGCTGTGTAGGGAGTGGCTGCAGGAGCCTTCTATTTGCCAAAGAATAGTGATCAGCTCACTTGTGAGGAGGAATACAAGGAATTGGCCAGGTTTTGACCCTGATGGCGAGCTGAAGGACCAGGCCTAGAGCCTACAGAGCCCACTGGATCTGGAGTCGCATGTTCGCATCTCCCCTGCTGGCCGGTAGGGGGCTCCTTGCAGCCCACAAACTCTCTCCCCACTTTGCACGGAACTTTTGCAATCCACTCATCCACATCTCACAAACTCTTGTGCACCGCCTCCCTCTGTCCAACTGGTCAAACCCAGAGTGGGTTATCGATGAACTGTGCCGCGGGCTGAGAAACTGTTTTGTTGAATTCTATCACTGGTTGCTTTTGTGAATACTGTGAAAACCGTTTCTATACATTGTACTTGTGCAGTGCTGAATGAATATTGATTCGAAACACGTGTTACCATTGAATGGCCATTCACTGATTTTTGGGTATATGTTTTGTGTGTCACTGTATTGTTTGTCAATTTTCAGATTCAGATTCATTTATTTGCCATTTGCAGTAAAACCACATTGGAAAAACTGTGCAAGACTACCCCGGTGTGCACCAGACAGAGGAGACGACACACACCAGAGCTCTTGCCACGGCGCCATCTTTACGGCGCCATGCGACAAACAGTAGAATAAACAGCAGAGAGCAATAACATACAGTATCACAGACAGTTGGATAGACACATTGTGCCTTGTGTAAAAATGTTGTCCTTTGTTAATACATGGTAACAACCAAACTTATTCAGTCTCCTGCCACTCCCTCCTTGAGCCAAATCTAGACTTCTGACTACTAGCCTAATACAACTTTATTACATTACTATTATTTTCTTATTACACGTTTATTACTTAGTACTTACTGTGTTATAACTATATATTATAAGATTTTGTAGCTTCTTGTTTGTTCTACTTAGATTAGATATTATTTTATGACACAGGGGTTACACTTACTCCACACAGAAAGAGCTGGAGGCTCTGAAACCATTGTGCCACCCAGTGCGTTGCTCAACTGTCCTAGAGCTGACCCTTTGTTGGTCCCTTTTTGTGATGACTAGTCCAGCAAGTACTGAATATTTGAGTGTAGTTGTATTACTGTGGTGTACCTTGAGAAAGACCTGCAGCTCCTGGGACTGCGTCTGCTGCAGGATGGCCGGCTGGAGGTGCTTGAAGACCGCCACACACACGTACACCTGGTAGTCGGCTCCCATCAGCACACAGGTGCACAGGTAGTGGCGGATCTCAGACCAGTCCAGGTAGTTCCAGAAGCACTGGGTCAGCCAGTGGACACACATCTGGGGAGGGTCAGTGCAGGATCGGCATTAGCCCAAAATAAACAAAAATTAATACGAATTAAAAATCAAGCTACGTCAAGTCAAAATATACCAAAAAATAGACACAAATAATTAGATAGGAGACATACAATTAGAAAACAAAAGAAATACAATTAACACATCTATACAAGAATGGGACCACACAACTCACACAGTGTTAATGTATTTTTTATGCTTTTTTTATTAGCTCTGCATACTTTAAAATGCATTAAAGTGATAAAGTGACAGAGATGGGACAGAGTGATGCTGATAACCAATTCCCCAGATACTGGGGAATTGGATACGCTCTCTTTAATACATACCACATGAAAGATATGTATTAAAGAGAGAAAAATAAAAAGCACAAAGGCTGAAGTAAAGTGTTTATACAGGTCTAAACCCTATAGATATGAGAGAAGGCAATTCAGGTCCAATCTTCGGAAAGGTGAACACGGGCAGATGGAGTCAGTTTCACCTAAAATAATGCTTTATTTTTTTGGACAACAAGATAAAAAGTGCTCTCTGGTGTTTGATATTGATTTGGGACTTTGGGACGCTGACTGGAGCAGATGCATGCTAATGTTTATTTGTGCGGTTGATGATGTGTTGATGTGTGATATTAATGAGGCAGCTGCTTCCCAATAGTTTCCAGCAAAAATAAATGAAGCTCTAAAGTATTTCACAGCCAAAGACCAGAGATATGAATCATGTTTATTCTCCAGTTCTTCAGAATATTTCAGAGCATTGCATTCATGCGGATATTTGTGCACCAGCTTTTGAGTGACTTAAAAGATACAATTATGATATGAAAAGCATTGTGTTATGTACAAAAAGTAGTTTATGCTTAAACTTGAATCTGTGATTTCTGAGAATACAGAGCTGAGAACAACTCCACTCCAAACACTTGAAAGTGAATGGATTCTTAAGTGTTTTTTAATATTTATGATGGATGCGCTATTATGATAAATGCGTCTAGGAATGGATTGAAGAAAAAGGCTTGCTCCAGGATATGGCAGTACAAAGGCCTGTCAAATCATTTTTGCATGCAAACAAATATTTAAAAAATACAATTCACCGTCTTCCAAACAGTATCTAAATGCCAACATTTTGTCCATGTCAGAAAAGTACAAGAAAAGATCATTTCTTGTCATAGGGTTTAATAAAAAATATGAATTGCGAAGTTAAATGTGGAAACAGGTGATGATTCTTAACTTGTGGCATGTTTTTATTCCTAAACTGTATATAGTTGGACAAAGCTAACCCGCTGGCTCAATAAAGTACTCATGAACAAAGTCTTGCTCCAACTGGCTCTGGTTCTTATTCATTAACATTGAAAAGTAACTGGTTTTTCAACCAGTGTGTGTATTAGGGCACGGTCACATAGGTTTTTACAAACAAACTGGGCCAAGTGTCCCTTGAGATAATGCTTGGTGTGCCTTTGGAAATGATCCACTACCACCTAATTGGTCAAAAGAAACAGAATTGTTGTTGAAGAAAATATACGTTGTAGTGATTATTTATTTTTCTTTTCAAAACACTACTTTTCTTTTTGAAAACAGTAGATGGGGCTGGAGTGCTTCTAGGATGTAAAAATGAAACAAGGAAAAAAGTTAACTTTTGGCACAACTTTTTTTTTCTCAACGGGGCCAACCCAAATGGGGTCGAATACACTTTGGTCCAGCTGGTGGCGCTAATACTAACTTCAGCGGTTACCTCTAGATCTGTGTTAAGTTTATGTTTCTGTAATAGAAATTATGTTTATATAATCAATTAAATGAATAAGAATGTGCTTAACATAAACATTATGGGCCAGGAAGGGGAGGTAACCTTTAGCCCCCTCGCAAGGGCTTTTGAAGTATGTATACCACAGAGGGGTTATTGTTTATATGTAATTAAGGAGTGGCTTCCTTGAAGCATTTTGGGTATTGTTACCTTGTATGGAGGTGTGATTTTATATTTGAATAAAGATCCCAACACACACTTTAGCAACATGTCTGCCGCTTCTCAGGGCACTTTTTAACAGTGCCCTGAGAATTATCAGAGACTCTTCTGGCCACCCAGGAAAAGCCTTGTTCCAGCTTCTTCCCTCTGGCAGAAGATACTGTTCTCTGAGATGCAGGACATCTCGTCATGCTAACAGTTTTTTTCCACGAGCTGTTAACAGTTTGAATAGAGCACTTTAATGTTTTGCACTCGTATAGATCTGTTTTAAGTTGGTCAACTTCACGGTGACATTTGTTGTGACATTTGTTTACTGTTTTTAAAATTTGTTTTATTTTTGTCTTTTAATGTTGTTTTGTGTCTGTACTTGTCCTGTGCACACGGGGAACTTTTACAAATGTATTCCAATGTGGTGTATACATACTGCAAATGGCGAAATAAATGAATCTGAATCTGAATCTGAATCTGTTACAGGTGCAAAGCAAAGCAATCACCATTGGAACAAATGCCCATATAAGGAAATTGCCTCCAGCTGGCTTATTCGGCCAACGCGGTCAGTGCACTCCTACTAAAGGCTCTCTGGTTTTATTATGTAATTGAGCTTGGAATTGAACTGGCGTGGAACAAAACAGCTGAACAAAAATTGACAAGAATAACCTCATGTATAATAATTACACATAGAGAAGGTGTTATTGGAATGCAACATCCACCTGAAGGTTCACAGAGTCGGACGTAAATGCTGTCTGCATTATGGGATCCGTCACTGTCAACCCGACAAAGGCTGGATCAAGGAAGGGAGTTTTGAAAATATAGGAGCCTTTCTTTTCCACTTACTGTAGTTGATAATAGAGGAGACGTTGGTGTCAAAAGAATGGAGTGCACAGGAGCCAAGAGCAAACTTTAAGCAGGAGTAAAAGAGACTTGGCTGTTTTGAACTGACAGAAAGAAACCATGAAAGACAATGTGAAGGAATGTGTAATGAAGAAGCTCTCTGAGAAGACGTCTACAGTTCATGAGCAGTTTGCGCACTACTAATTTGACCACATGTCGAAGCCGAGATTTATTTAACTCTACATACGTAAATGCAGTGGAAATAACACATTATAAATTCACATTTAATCACAAAACAGCGGAATAATCAATGAATCAATAAAAAGACAAGTAGTTTTATAGATACATTGAGAAAAGGATTTTTTTAAGAGTGGGAATCTAGGTATATTATAGTGGTTGATTCACTTGGGTCAGAAGAATGTGTCTGCCATATGACAAATTGACTAACTGACTAAACTGACTAAACTGACTAAACAATTCTAGCCACAACAAAAATAAAATGTTATTGACTTAAATGTTGCCAGTAAAGTAGTAAAGCAATCATGCGGCTATGTGAATCTGGCACTACACATATGTTAGACCATCATTTACTCCCTAACACAGCGGAGCAAATCCAGTGTTTCTTCTCATATTGAAAACGTAGTGACTTAAAAAGAAAATCTATAATAACATATAACATCTTAATGGGCTGTGTCCCTTGAATTTGATCTTAAAGTTAAAAGATGACTATGATGTGAAATCTATGTAACAGTTCCTTGCTCTCAAAACAGTTTCTTTATCACTAGTTTTTCCATGCATGTGTTTGTTTGGACTCGGCCACATCTTTAGATCAGCTTTTTCCGTGAAAAAAGAGAAGACCAACTTGACGCAGCCAATCAGCTCTCAATAGTTTCTAAAAGATAACATATTTTCTAATCAGAATATGATTTTTTTTATTGCTGTTGTAAGTAACAGGAAGTCACAAAATAGAAATTGGATTTGGTAAATTGTGCAGACAAGTAATAAAATAGTCAAAATAGACACTGTATAAGGGTATTCATAAAAGCAGGGAGAAATGAAGATACAATACGATATAAGGACAGCATGTTGGAGTCTGATTTGTTCACACACTGGTAATCTGACAACAATCATTCTGTTGGGACAAACAACAGTCCTCATTCTGCAGCCTGAATCCTGGATCTATCGCTTGTCCGTCCATGGGAGTGAATACCTCTCACAACATTGACCTACCTGGGATTTCACATTTTTGTCCCGCTGTTTAAAAAAGAAAGTCATCTCCTTGCTGATGCAGGAGGGTCTGAGGACAGTGATGATCTGGGACCTTTAAGGACATTTTTTAACATTTATGGACATTGGTCATCCCGCTCCCTATGAACGAATGGCTCCTCTGTATACTATCATTGCCTTTCCTGTGTTTGATCTGTTTGTTTTTCAAATCTGTTGCTGGTGAATCGACATCTTCGAAAAGTTCTCCGAGACAACTGCTGTTCTCATGAAGGGCTATACAAAAATAAATTGCATTGCATGTATTTATGAAACGAGACAAAACGGAAGGTATCCCATCTCTAAGCAGCCAGTTGTGTCAGTTGTTAAAGTATGCGTTTGTTTATCATTAGTATAACTGAACTTTTACCATACCTGAGATGGGGTGAATCCAGATATCCTGAAGGCTGAATGGACCAGGGGGAGCTCAGATTTGAGTAGCATCTCAACATAGTGTGCGGTGCACCAGTAAAGTGGACCAATTCCAGACTCAGCCACAGCCAAAGGAATATGGACCTGTCAGAATAACACAGTGCAAGTGAAGGACATTGGCAACCGGTCATGCTCGTAATCAGTATTATGTGTTGGGAGGAATGTTCTTGGTGTCCAGCTGTCAATGGTCCCTCTCCATGAGTGTGACGTTGTCGGAAACATCACGGTTGATATATATGGGGGTGTCTCTCTCTGTGGGGGTCTCTGTCTGTGGACCCTTTTTCTGACAACACCATTTAGCTGACAGCCGAGGGTTCTCCCTCTTCACCAAATGTCCTTTTGTATATGTATGGTATAATTTCGGTTATCTCTGTATGTATTTTGTGTCCTCATTACTATCTATTTGGTTCATGTCTAATATATGAAGCCACAATTCAATTTTTGTTATAAGAGTACGCGTCAGTGTGCTATTTTGAGAGCCCACAAGTGTTATCTGTCGACCTTTAACAGTTTTGTTTACCTCACTCTTGATTCCTTAAATTGCATTTTAAATAATTGATGGTTCCTCTACTCTGTGATATTGAAGCAGTTGACTGTTTTGCAGAAAATAATCGGAAATTTGCATTCATCTGGATCAAACGCACAGCAGTCTCCAAACACAGGTTCAATTGAGTTGTAATTAGCTTTGATGAAAGGGTACACAATGATAAAAGTTTGTGAAAGCAAAACTTGTATCTTCCGCACTAAAACTCCCCTGCAAGTTAGTGCTGTGTAGATTGATTGAAACTAGGATGTGTTTATCACTTTTTCCTGATGGATAAACTGCTTGAATACAATAAAAATACCTTAGACTCAGCACTTTAGCACTTTACAGGCGAGTGAAGTCTCTCAAAGAACCACACTGATGTTATTATCAATGTATTGCTTAGTGAAGATAGAAGTAAGGCCAATGAGCGCCAAAGGCTGATACTACCACAATCGCATGTTCACCACACGAGTATGTGCAAACAGGAGTATGTGCGAACAGGAGTATGTGCAAACAGGAATATGTGGATAGTGTGCAAACTGCACACTATCCACTTCACACTGCTGGAAATATGGCTCGTTTGTGTTTCTTTGACGTAGCTTATTCATGTTACAGCTAGATATTTGGAATATGTAACCAGCACTGTTGAATAGGAGAAAATATCATATTGTATGGTTTATATTTACTGAAATTCCTGAGATATATATTCAGCTAAATGTGAAAAATCACATTACTTATTAAACCTGTGGATTGGAGGCAGCAACAAAATAATTGTCTCTTAATGTCTTAGATGAGTACCTGATTGTTTTGAAAATGTTTGGACCCAGAACTCCCAATTGTTTGTGGTTTAAAAGAATGAGGAAGGTATCGTCATGGATCTTTTCAAAATGTGTATGTGGTCTTCCTAAATCACATCCCCTCTACGAACCTTTCAGCCTGTAGTTTTTGCGCAAACCTGCCTACAAACAAACAAACACACAAGCAAACACACACGATTACATACCTCCGGTTGGCTGCACCAATTATACCATTATCGTAGTATATTCAATCCAATTCAACTTTATTACAGACTCTAGGTCCAATTTAAAACATACAGACGGACAAGACAAAAGAAAATAATATATCGTGTATATAGTGTTTTCCACTTTTCAAGGCACTCAAAACTTTCTCACATTCACCTATACATTTCTTAATGTATGGGTGAATGTATGGAGAAAACAGTCACTTGAATCAAATTGAGCTCAGAGGACAAGTGCTCAACGAACTTTGCTATTACTGCTCTGTTTAAAGTTGTGGCAGAGACATCACACACAACAGACATTGGAACGTTTAAAATGTGTTTTGCAGCAGCTTTAAGATTGTTCTGTTAGAAACCACTGATGTTTACAACTAAACACAGAGACAGTGTGTTGTGCCTGCATACTCACAGAAGCGTGGATCCTGGGTGGCCATATGAACGCAGACACCAGCAGAGATGACAGCTCCAGTAACAGACGCATTGCACGCTCCATGTGGCCCTTCATCAGGAGGAACACCGTGCAGACCAACCAGTCGTGTCCAGGGTAGTCCTGCACACAGACTGAGGGGGGCGCTAAGGGACCGCATAACTGTTTTCAATGACATGGACATGCAATTAACAGTGTTGGGCAGAATACTTTGAAAATGTATTCCGTTCACAATACTGAATACATTACCTAAAATGTATTTTGTATAGTATTCCCTTTCTTCGGGGGAAAAAAAATTATTCTGTATTCCGAATACCTAGAAAACGTTTATTTTTAAAGCGTATTCAATATGTAATAAATTAATTCAAGTTTTACTATACGATTGGTTTTCGGTCAAGAAAAAATGTGAACGTCAGCCATTCTGTATTCTAATATAAAGACATTTCATCTCTTTTGAGATACTAGTGGGTGCTTGGGTACTTTGCACGTGTACGAACACACAGACAAGCACACATTCACAAAGGGATGGACTGGCCATCTGGCGTACGGGCAATGTCCAAAGGGCCGTTGCCCATATTTGGCCTGCCTCATACAAAAAATGAAAGTTTAGCTAATGCTAGCTTAGTGTAAAGTTTTCACTGTACAGTTATATTTCAACCTGCCTTCTCTTGTTTTAGAATGAAATCCATCAGTGATTGAACATCCACGATATGAATGCCATAGCCGACTTGCGTTGTTGATGATGCAGTCTCTGATTACAAGTCTGACTTCTCCATTGTTTTAAAGGACCACTTTTTTTTAGCTTGTAAACTGCATAAATATGTTTCTCATAGTGCTCCCTACATGTCCGGCTCAATTCTTTGACAATTTAGTGAAAAGTAGATAAAATCTTGAATTATCAAGAATATATTGAATTGAATACCTTGATGACCTCCAGACTTGACTACTGCAATCTTGTACTTTTTTAAAGTGTCCACTTTATAGCTTTAAATAAGTATGATGTATTATTATTATTATTATTATTTATTAATATTTTCTGAGAAGTATATCATGTTTGAATAATTACTGTAACTGCTTTAATTAAACACATAACTGATTGATTTTGTCTCATGGAGTTTGGTATCACAAAGTAATCTCCTCTTTCCAAAAACCTCTCAGAACTTTAGAGCCAAACTTTTTGGATACATTATCAAACTAAGTAACAAAGGAAATATGATGCACTTTATATCTTTTGACAATTTTATTTATATGCTGTATATCCAATTCCAAAGCCTGCAGCAGGATCTTAATTTTTAATTTAAAGTGTTTCATCATTTAAGATTTGCTGTCAGCATATAGCAGTGTTAATGCAGGTGTCAGAAGAATGAAGAGCAATTAACTCAAAGTGAGAGAATTTGGCCCGATTTCAGAAAACAACCCTAGGCAATCGATGGGCGCCAATCCTTCAGAGAAGATGTCTTTAGTTATACAGAAATATGCTTTTTTTGTTTGTTTAAATACAATCAAAAGGAGGAGTGCATGCGACAGGGGTGCGCTCTGAGCTGCCTCTGGGCCCTAATACATAGGAATTACAAAATTTTTTGATGAGGCCAAATGTGTATAAACCACTACAATTATTGTCTCAATTGTTATTTTGAGCTTGAAAATTATTCAACACAGACTGTTGTCTATGATGTGTCAGTTGTAGAATATTCTTGCGTCTCTTGTCTTGTCTTAATTGGCAAGACACTTCACCCCCATTGCCTAGCATGAGTCTGGTGTGTGTATGAATGATTGGTGGTGGTCGGAGGGGCTGATGGCACATACTGGTTGCCTCGCTTCTGTCAGTGTGCCCCAGGGCAGCTGTGGGTAGAGCTACTAGTCATTTATCACCACTGTGTATGGAGTGAATGAAAAAGGCTCTAAGACATGTAAAGCGTCTTAGAGTGTCCAAAAAAAGCGCTATATAAAACCGATGCATCAGTTTCCAACTGTAGTCCCAAGGCAAGGTGTAAAATGCCAGTAATTTGCATCAGTCGCACAAACGGTGGAATCAAACTAACAACTTTCTTGCTGTGAAACACAAGCGATAACCACTGCGCTAAACAAAAATGTATTCGTTGGACGTTATGCATTTGTCTGGAGGTTTAATGGGCCTCTCATCTCCCACTTGACTCGGGGGTCTCAGTCGAAGTGATGCAGGAGTGATTGCATTCTACCTCTGGTTTTCAAAGCTGTGAAAGGATACTGAGGCGTGAAGTGGTTTTAAGTCTCTGCGAGCAAAAAAAGACCTTCATGTGTTTCATCAGCAGCGTCAGGTCGCCGACTGCGTCATCTCCGAGCAGCTTCAGAGAGCTGCCATAGCTGTGGATGTAACAGGAAAAAAATTAATTATTGTCATTAAAGCTTTGGTACCTCACTTTCAAACCACACAAATATGGAACTATGTAATTAAATCACTGTATGTACAAAGTGTCATTAAGATTAAGATTAAGAGATACTTTATTTGTCCCACAGTGGGGAAATTTCAGCTGTTGTTCAGTTGTTATTGAGATAGGGGCTGATTTAACCCAGCAGGCCATTTCTACTTTTAATCGTAAAACACATTAAGTTTGTGTATTTTGCACTTTCTTCAGTTCTTATTACTGCAGAAATGCAAACCTGACACGCTGCAGGAGCTTGGTCAGCAGAAAACAGCTTTGAGGGGGAGACTTATATTTACTTACTGTAATGCAGAGGCAGCACAAGACAACTTTCTCTGTTAAGTATGTGTTGAAAGCTTTTTACTGTATATACATTAATAAGATAGATGAACACTGCCAGCATAGAATCAACTTGTTTTACATTTAGTCCCATTGTGGCTATTGGAGCTACAACATTGTACCTGAAATATTGTATTACACTGTTTTGGCCTGACCGGTAGATGTTCCTGTAGTGGTAATTGAATACAGTTTATGTTAGATAAACAAACACGGTGGTTACCTGAGACAAATGTTGATCCCCAGTTCTTCTACTGACGTCAGAGCAGCACTCGTCACACTCTCCTCCTCTCCTGGGAAACGGACAATGAGCTTAATAGATATAATACCATAATAGTAGTGGAGGGAAACAATGTAGACATACAATATAGTTGAGGATGATGAGGTGTTTAACAGCTAAACCTTCCATGACTCATTCACCAGTTATAAAAAAAACTTGATCGAAATAAAAATAACAAGTCCATAAACTGTCTGGACTCAACAACTCTACCACAACAAGAATAAACATATTAGCCACATTGCTATACTAGCCGCAGGGTTGAAAGAAAGAAAATAGTGGCTTATAGTAATTATGGAAATTCTGAATTTATCTTAAACATACTTTCAACTCCAAAAAGTGGATGAATTTAAAAGTTGAAAGAGGCCACAGATATTGATGTGACCTATTAAAGATGGTTCTCTTTCGTTTTGTGGCCCCCGTATTTCGGGCCAGCAGATAAAAATTAGATGGTTGGACTTTTGCCTTGGGCTCGAATACTGTGGAGATACAAGAGTGAAAAGTGGAGCGACACAGAGGTTAATACTCCGCAAATGAGTGGGTTCTTTCTCCACAATACAGCACTCAAGTAGGGCAGCGTGGAGACTGTAGCCCACGTCACTCAGAGCCTTTCCCCCGCGCACTCCCCCCTGGTGCATTGTGGGATCCGACAAGAGCCCTGACAGCTGCCTGGTCGCCTCTCACACTCTACAGTAGGAGGAATATTAAGCAGCAGAACGATGAGAGAAAGTGAATGTGAAAAAAGTGAATATAGCAAGCAAAGTGTAGTGCTTCAACAACAACAGCTTGTTATAAGCAAGACCAGACTTCAACTAAAAGCCGTCACATGTAAAGAAATATTGTCTTCTATATAAAAAAGGGTATTGTAGTAAGGTTTACTTTCTTATTTACATACTTAAATAGAGTATGGTAATAAATGCTCATACATTATAATACATGTGTGAAAAAATAAGCTGAAAGATTTCAATAAATTGCTCAAAAAACAAAACAAAACTCAAACCACTATTTTCAGGTGTACATTATCAATAATATATTATGTGTGTGTGTAACTTTTCAAAGTAAGAGAGTTTTACCAGTGCTTGCCTGGTTAGACTGGCCCATTCTTACCCCTGCAGCCTCCTGATTGGTCGAAATTAATTCAAATCCTAGAGGCCCGTCTTTATTGGTTTTGGGTTAAACTTACAATAATACAGTGTCCCAGATAAAAAATATACATTCCTTTGCAAATTAAAGGCTATTTAAATTGCTGAAATTACCTTTAAAGATTAAATTATGCCTATTAATCCTGAATTGTTGATTACTTCTGCACCAACTTTAAATCAATTCAACCAAGCTACAGTATACGACTTAAAACTCACAAAACACAAGTATTACATCACGGTGCAGTAGCCTTGACTGTAATCACAGCGCTATGTAAACAGATACAGTTTGACTTGACTTTATGATCAGGACCCATGCTGTTACAAGCCCTCATGATAAACATTCTCATCACTGTCAAATGACTACAGGAGATGTGCGAAAATGTCAACTCATTTATGAGGCATTTTGCAGCCAACACATTGTGATTGCACAGATATTTAGGTCACAGATGAAACTGTATTAGCATTAAGAAAGAGCATGGGTTGACTTGATATTTACTAATGAGCAGATTTGCTTTCTCTCACTCATCGCTCTGAATCAGATGTATAAGCCACTGGAAAATAAACAAACACTCACCAATCATCACTCTTAAGGAGGATTGGTACAGAAGAACTTTTAAGGTGCAACAGAACTACACCATTTCACATTTCAATAATTAGATTCAAGATTATTGAGAGTAGTAATTGTACTCAGTGAACTTGTATAGTAATGTAATTCTAAGAAATGTTATGTAGATTTTGTATTTATTTTTATTCATGTCTTATTCTATTTTTACTTTTATAACTTTTTTGCACCAAGAGCCAAATCAATGTCCTAGTTTGTGACTTCCTGTTAGTCACAATGGTATTACAAATAATTCTGATTCTGATCTTGAACCTGAGCAACAAATGTTTTCACATATATCAACATAACAAACAAACAACACTTGGTTAACAAAGTACATGGTTTGATAAGGGGGTTGTTCATAAACACTGTAGATGAAATATGTAGGAAGTATGACAAAAAACATTTTAACTTGTGATTCAGGATTTTAAAATTGTATGATATGTGTTTGTAGAACTCGTGAACCACCGATTAGAAAAGGACTCAAAAGTTATGTCAGGATCTCATGAAGGGCCCAATCATGAGTAAAACTAATAATAATAATAATACTAAAACCAATAACTAATAATCATACCAGTTTTAGCTGGTATAGTTTTAACAAGAAATGTGTGCTTTGGACTGGTATTATAATAAAATGCTGGTTTAATCTATCTCTTGTTTTTAATCTGTCATTAAGCATTATTGAAGATAAGATAAGATAGACTTTATTGATCTCACACAGGACAAATTTACCTGGACAGAATGACTCACAAAGAAAATAAGTGTGCAAACATGTTAAATGCAGGATATATTATGTACAATAAAAGTGGCAATTAAGACACAGTGGCAATAGTAGTGTGGTTTTTTGTTGTTGTCCTGGTGCAAGTGACTTAAAGTGACTTATTGTACAGTCTGACAGCAGTGGGGATAAAGGCCCTGCGGTAGCGCTCCTTCTTACACTGAGGGTGTCTCAGTCTTCCACTGAAGGAGCTCCTCAGCTCCTCTACAGTCCTGTGCAGTGGGTGGGAGGTGTTGTCCATGATGGAGGTGACTTTGACTAACACCCTCCTGTCCCTCACCTCCTCCACAGAGTCCAGGGAGCAGACCAGAGTGGGGCTGGCCCTCCTGACCAGCTTGTTGAGTCTACTCCTGTCCCGCTCTGTGCTGCCCGGGGCCCAGCACACGGCAGCGTCGTGTATGGCAGAGGCTACCACAGAGTCAAAAAAATTCCTGAGCAGAGGCCTGCTCACTCCGAAGGACCTCAGCCTCCTCGGAAGGAAGAGGCGACTTTGGCCCTTCTTGTACAGGGCGTTGGTGTTATGGGACCAGTCCAGTTTATTGTTAATGTGTACTTGAAGCTGTCCACCAGCTCAATGTCCTCCCCCTGGATGGTCAGCAGCATGTGGGAAAGTGGTTTTCTCCTGAAATGGACTACCATCTCCTTGGTCTTACTGGCGTTCAAGCACAAGTGGCTGCGCTCACACCAGTCGACGAAGTCCGTGATAACCAACCAGTGTTCCAGTTCGTTCCCCTCAGACACACAGCCCACGATGACAGAGTCGTCGGAGAACTTCTGCAGGTGACAGCTGTGGGTGTCGTATGTGAAGTCTGTAGTGTAGATGGTGAAAAGAAACGGTGAGAGCACAGTGCCCTGAGGGGCCCTAGTACTGCAGACTACCACCTCAGACTCACAGCTGCGCAGCTGCACGTACTGTGGTCGGTCCGAGAGGTAGTCGATGGTCCATGCAGTGAGGTTACTGTCCACTCCCGCGTTCTCCATTTTCCCCCGCAGCAGTGCTGGTCTGATAGTGTTGAAAGCACTAGAGAAGTCAAAAAAACATGACCCTCACAGCGCTCCCGGAGGGCTCCAGGTGGGAGAGCGTCCGCTGCAGCAAATAGATGACAGCGTCCTCTACTCCGATGTTGGGCCTGTAGGCAAACTGCTGTCTGACCACAGAGCGATGATGAGCCGCTCCATGGTCTTCAACAGGTGGAAGGTCAGTGCGATTGGTCAGTAATGAACCGGTTCCTTGGCGAGCACTATTCTAGGAACCGGAATCACACAGGAGGTCTTCCATAGGACAGGGACCTTCTCCAGGATGAGGCTCAGGTTGTACATGTAGCTGAAGAACCTCAGAGAGCTGGTCTGCACAGGTCCTCAGCAGCCTGGGACTGATCCCGTCCGGTCCTGCGGATTTCCTCTGTTCAGTCGCTTGAGCTGACTCCTCACCTGGTCCGGTGTGATGGAGAGGGGGGAGTGAGGGGAGACCGGGGTTTACTGTCAGAGGTGGGGGCAGGGGGGCCCGCCGCAGCCGAAGGCAGTGTCCACTGGGCAGTGATCATTGGGCTGGAGACGTGTGAAGAGGTGAGGGCGGGAAGGGGGGCAGATGGAGAGGGGGGAGAATCAAACCAGTTGAAATATTGGTTAAATTCATCCGCTCTGCGCTGGTCTCCATCCGCTGTCCCTCTAGCAGTCTGTCCGAAACCGGAGATGTTATTTAGGCCTCTCCACACGTCACGGGCGTTTCCCTGTTCCAGCTTCTGCTTCAGCCTTTTCCCATCGTCCTTTTTGGCCCTCCTAATTCACCACTGGAGCTCGTGCTGGATCCTCTTCTGCTCCTCTTTGTTTATTTTGTTTTATTTGTTCTCTTGTATTTTGAGTTCAATTCCTGTCCCTCCTGTTGATTGTTAGCCCCACCCTAATGTGACCCACCTGTGTCTCCTGTGTGTATTTATACCCTGTGCTTTACCCCACATGTCCTCTATTGTCTCTACCACATTTGTCCTGCATGTCTAGTTTTTCAGTTCTGGATCTTTGTTCTTTTTGTCACGCTGGATTTGAATTTTATCAAATTACATTTGATTTTCAGTCCTGCATTTTGGGTTCCCTATTTCTTCAATTCCCACGTGACAAATACATTGTGCTATTTTTTGTGTGTAAAAAAGAAAATAATAGAAAAAACAGCTACATTTAAAACTAGCAACCCAAGTGAAAACCTGATTCTGCTCTTTGATTGGAGATTCTACTTATATATCATACACATTATGTTCATTGTAATTTATTCCATTTATATGAATTGCACATGTCAAGCAATTATCTGGGATACAAATAATTTACAAGATGTAGTTTAGAATGAAAATATTACATACAATCTTTAAGCTTAAAAAACTTACCTGTGTACAAAGCTTGAGGAAAGAATTGTTCACAGTCTGCTTTAGACAAATGGGAAACGGCCTTTTCCAAGAGATCTGCCAAGTCTGCGGAAATTGCAAATGTTTTATAATGTTATTGAACACTTTATTTCTAACTGGTAGAAATAAAGTATTGAGTGTTTATTCATAATGAGTTGAATGTACATCAAACATTAATATCAAAATGCTACTCTAATTACATATTTAAATATTGTACATGATTCAAATGTTCTTCTATATAGATTTGTCTTTGAGTATCTTTTTATTTTTTTTATTTTTTTTGTACTTTTCATGTACGAAATGAAAATAAAAAGGAGTGGGAGGAAGACAAAAAGGTGTAGTTTCCCACCCCTGTGAATATCATATTCATTTCACTGTGTGGAATAAATATGACTGCTACTGAGGCAGTAGCAGAGCAATGTGCAACAACACGATGGCAACAAAATCAACGGGAGTAAGCCAGTGTCCCAAATGTCTAACTTGGCCAGTGCTTTTTGAGAGTGTTGTGCTGGTCTCTGGAAGTGATGCATTCTTGCCTCATCGCGCTAGAGTGGACCTTTGAGATATTATGTAATGGTTCTTTCACTGTGAGAGTTGGCTGTTACTGTCTGCATCTGTAGACAATGTTTACATCCATTAACGGCTCGACTGTCCTGAGGTCTTGATGTCGCATCACGTTGCAGTGAGTAGCAAGCTACGGGAGTGTGTGCTGTACATCTAACTTAAGAAGTACAAAAACAGAATAAAAACATAAAAGGTTCTCTATACGAGCTTACTATTATTGAATCATCAATTTATATGATGGACTTTATCTAGCAAGATTTGAATGTATTGTCCCCTATGCTTGTTCAGAGAAAGTAGATCGACTCCCTTTGTTTCTTTGAAATTTCCTGTATTTCCGTATGTGTTTTATGCAGCTCAAATCGCCCCTGGTGGGATAAAGTGACCGAGAACCATTCTCGATCCCTTCTGCTGTATTTTCTTAGCCCCAAACCAGATCATAGCGTTAAAACTGCAATAGAACGCACATTGGATAAGAATATTGATACAAGTGAAATCATGTATCAAACCAGAATGTAATACAATTTTAATTTGTACTGATCTTCTTGTTAACAACCTGACAAAAGCACCGGTAAATAAGATCTGATCTTGCCCTTGACAAGTCACTAAATTAATCTCATTCTTTTTCTGTTAAGGCAAACCAATTAAGCCATCATTACTGACAAGATGGAACCTATTGAAGACGGGAGCATTTCTAATCGCAATTGCTTTTGATCGCCTGATGTTATAGTACCGCTAATCACTTTCAGTTCAAGAGAGCCTTTTGGAAAAACAAGTGATAATCAGAGACAATACAATGCTCAGGAAATAGTCCTTATTTTTGCATATGACGGCTGAATATATATTTTGAAAGACAATAAAATGAGCCACTTAACAAATATCTGCTTTAGTGAATGGTCTAAAACAAGCCGAGCGCTTGGTTTGAATGCATTAAGGATGTAATCACAGTACAGTACATGCATGCATTAATGATGATGCCAACGTGATGCATTTTGAATAGGAATCATTAGAAAAGCAAGAGAATGTAAAATGGGCTGATGATGGCGCTTCAAAAAATCATGAACATAGAATACAAGGCTTCCATGGAGCGCTGTGTGCGAGTGCAGCTGTCACAAAATACCAAGAGGCAGGTGGCGAGAGCTAGTGAAATATGATCCGATGTTTTCCTCTTTTATGCTTGATATTAACATTAAAATACCCACAAAGAAGGATGGGGTAGAAAAGAATTTGAATATCATTAGAAAGCTCTTCAACCCCTGCAAAACGATACAGAATAAACAAAATAGGACTGGATTGTATGCAGAGGCTTAAAAAATAACTAATAAAGCTTATAGTTTTGCACATGTTGTCACGGATACGGCCACAAACAAAGATTTGCTTATAACCTGAGTGCTCTCTTTTCTCCTTCTATTCTGCTGTAATGTGTGCAACTACTGTATGACATTGACATTTCCTCACTGAGGGACGAAAAAAGGTTTATCTTATCTCATCTTATCTTGTTATGGCTATATATTTGTGTGTATTTTTCCATACACACATAACACTTGAAATGATACATACACAAGCAGACAATAGCAGCATCAACCCCCCAAAAAATTCACCCCAAACCCGATGTTCTAAAAATCAATCAAATCACAAACCCAAAAAAAACGCAACAAGTCCCGATGACACCAACCCCTGAGAAATGTAATTCTAAGCAAAATGATTACCTATGAATGATTGTTTACTGAAAAGTGAAAAGACCTGAAAACTGCCGCTTACAAAGGCTTTTAATCCAAGCTGACAGAGCTTGAGTTGTTTTGTAAAGATGAATGGGCAAAACGTACATTCTATTAATGTGCAAAGTTTTTACTTCAGAGTTGTCTGTTACTTTGTTATGGTCAAAAAATCCTAACCCTTACTTTTGCAACCCACTGTATATACATTTTTACTTTTTAAGTTTGACATTGCAAATTAGCCTTGGCTACAAATGTTGTGGTGTTTCATGTATGTTGAATTGTACACTTGTCCCTATCAAAAAATCAATAAATGAATAAATGCGTGAAAAACCAATGTGTGGCAGTGTCTGTAACATCCTCACCATCGCCTGTCAGCCGAGTGGGCGTCTTTGCCATAACCCTCCGATAGTGACTCCTGCAGACCTTCACCCAGCTTTCATCACTAATAGCCTCGGTCGATGCCAGAAACGTATTCAGTTCATGATCTATAGAGGGAGAAAAGAAATATTTTACAAGCACAAACATAAAGAAAATACTGACCCAATCTTGGCCCAGCTTTATACCAGAGGATATCGGTTCGGTTCTTTTCATCTCCATAGTGTAACATTGCGGAACAGGGTAGCAGCTAAACAGAGGCCAAGGGAAAGGATCATCTCCCTGCAGGAAAGTAGAGTCAAGTCCACATCCACATAAAATGTACATTCGAACAAACTTTTGACAATCACAGAAATATTCAACTATTACAAATGTACATATACATATAGACACAATTATTAAAGCAGTCCCCTCCCAGTTTGCATAATTTGAAAAAGAAAGAAAAATAAAGACAATAAAATTATGCAAATGTGGTATTGTGTACTGTAGTTGGAAGTAACAGCACTACTCCCTATAGCTAAAGCAGGATTTGGCGACAGCATGCTCCTGATTGCTCAGTTGTTAAGGCTCATATCTGTATTTAAAAAAGACAATTTCACAATATAAACACCAAGATTAAAAAGAGTGCCAAAGTTTATTGTACGTCAATTGGAGCCAGAGCGAGTTGGAAAAAAACGTTCTCCATGAGCACTTCCATATTAGGCTCCATTGAGCTAGGGGGTTAGTAATGTCCATACAGTGTATGGTGTTGATTAATTAAAGCATGGATGCATATATAAAACGTTATTTTCCCACCCCAGAATCCGATCCTTTTCGTTTCGTTTTATAACCTCATCTTAAATTACTTTCAGAGGAGAGTCTGTAAACAACCTCTAAATAATTAATAACTTTTCCCAAACCATACTGTTTCAAACAAAATCTTTGCAGCAGCTGGAAATCATTGGGACATCTTCAAATTCTAATGCTAGAAGTTGATTTGCACACACTATTCAGAAAACACATTAATAAACAAAGTACAGACCTCTTGTATAGAGCGAGGAGGGACTTTCCTTTCTGAGGGACCACCGACAGCACTGACACACACCAGCACAAAGTTCCTCTCCACTGATAAACTGTCCAGGATTATGTCCCTGTTCAGTCAAAGAAAACATGGTTCATCATAACTTTTAGAATGCTGGAAATGAATATGGCTTTTGCATTCATACATTTTCTATAGTTCACAGTACATACATTTGCTGTAACTAAATTAAAATATATTGATGATCCCTGCACATCTCTCTCACTAGTAATATTGATAATAATGCATTTTTATAACACCTAAAGACTCACTCATGATGGCAAACACTACTGCTCAAGCCACAGCTGCCCTGGGGGAGACTGACAGAAGCGAGGCAACTAATATGTGCCGTTGGTCCCTCTCAAACACCACCGGCTATTTATGTATCAATCAGATTCATACTAAATAATGTGGGTTAAGGACACAACAACAGTTTGGCCGCTCCACTGTGGCCCTTTGTTGTTTCCAGATGTCTTCCATCACAGTAATAACCAGACCCTGCCCTGCTTATTAGTTTTAGAGGTCTGATGGGCATAGACTGTAAATCTATTTATGATCAAAATGGTGAGTGTGACACTAACGTTGACTGAGCTAGAGGAGTTCTCTGTCCAATGCAAGTGGCCCGGATTGTCGCCACAGGGGTGTGAAGAAGGGCTTTTTTTCTTAACCGTGCCAGACCAAATGCAATGTAGTACAACACTTCACCACCTGCCACACTGACACCCCTCAGCTGGGCTTTGGAAGCGTGCCCTGGCCCATCTCTCTCAACCGTGTTCAGGCCCACTTGCAGCAACCGTGCCCAAGCCCATTTGCCGCGGTCATATAGCACCTAAAGGCCGGGTCTAATGGCGAAAGTTTCAAACTCAAACTTTTTGCCAATATTTCGAACAACATTTTTACCAAATTATAGTGTCTCTGGTGGTAATTAAAAGAACAGCCAGATACTGGTGCAGACTAAAATTGTAATAGATATTGTAGGCAAAACCTCTTCTGACTTTGTATTCCCCAAATGTCATCAAAACTGTTGGGGAAGTTTAGATGACTTTGAACGGCTGAATGATTAGGTGAAGGAGAGTTGGTTCAAATCAGAATGAAGCGTGCTGATGTCAGTGGCCATTACGGGAAGAGAACAGGAGAAGGGCCAAGAGGAGGAAATAGAGGAATAAATCATCGGCATCAAAACCCGGCCAACACTCCGACATATGACGCGGCCTGGCATGTCCTCGTCTCTTTTCTATTCAGCATCCACCTCCAAACTACTGCCCACCATTTAGTACCAGAAAACAGGCTTTTTAGCACTCCCTTCTAAAAAAAAAAAAAAAAAAACACTTTACAGGTTGTTTCCGCTGCGTTTCATGTTGAAGGTGACATCTGGAGCAAACAGGGATTTTTTAAAACAGGAGTCCCCAACCTGTGGCTCAGGAGCGACCAGTAGCTCGCCTGCCCCTTTCAGAAAGGATATTGAATTATCTCACATCTTGAATCTTGAATTAACCCATTTTGAGTCATTACACATCTATTATGAGTATAAATTTAGGGTTGTACAATATTATGGTATATTTTACATGTATTCTAGATGTTCTGTTGTATAAAAGTAACTCCCCTATTGAAAATGGATGGAGACCCCAGCTTTAAAGTGTCATATGTAGGTTTTATTATTTTTAATATAACCGAAAATATCTTCGGTTTGGCAAATATCCGGCTACGTGCGGATGGGGCCTGAGTGTCATTTGGAAGCTCTTTATATATGTCAACTTCTAACATCATCATCTTGTTCACCGGCTTGAGTCCTGGATCTTTGCCTTGCCTTGATGATCCAGGATTTTTTTTTCAAAATTTAATAACTTTTAGGTACATTGGACCCCGTATGAACCAATTGCTCCTTCGTGTTTGTTATTTCTACATTTCCTGTAAACAAACTATTTTATTCTTTGATCAGTTGTTGGTGAATTGACAACTTTGGAAAGTCCTCCAAGATGACCGGTATATTGGGATTTAGGGCTATACAAAAATGAACTGAATTGAATTGAATCATCACTTGCCTACTATTGATTCTTAACATTTTGTGTATAACATAGAAATTGCATACCACCCAATAAACAGGAAGTAGTTGTAGTTTCATAAGCCACGATAATACTATCTGTTTGACAGTAAAAGCAGTACATTGTAGTGGTTCTGCTTACTGCTTTTGGACTAAGCCACATATAATTTGAAGTGTCAGTGTTTATATAAGACCCATACCCTTCGCCATTGTCCAACTCTGTGACATTTTCTTTTTGCCGCTGCAGAAGCATAGAACAGATGTTGTACTGACTCTCCAGCAGCAGAAACGTGTCCAGATTACAGCAGAGCACACTAAGCAGCCTGGACACAAAACATACACAAGAAAAAAAAAATACAAAAGAGAGATGGAAATGATGAAAACGCATGGCTGGCTGGTGCAGATACAGCGGCGAGCTTTAAAAATAAACATGTAGAGTAGGAACAAAGCAGACATGACTTCATTTGCTTTTCCGTTTTTTCCCCAGGCTTTTTTGTGTGTGTCTGGACTCAAGTGTTAGATCAGTCAACACATTTTTTCTCCAAAAGCCAGCCATAGCCAACTGGATGCTTTGTTAAGAATGAGCCCTTGGGAGAAGCTTCATGGTTCATTTTCTGTTGCTGGTAATGACACTGAAGTTAAGCAGGCTGTTAATCTGTGCAGCCTTTTGAGACACAAAAGAGTGCGGTCGAAAGATATTGCTGTTCCACTAAGATTGTTTAACCCTCGGTATAAATATCTCAAAGCACAGCTATCCAAAGGCAAGGCATGGAAATCAGACATAAACAAAGAAATACAAGATTTGTTGGATGATATATGGATAACATTCACTGAGTAGAGCTTGGTCAAGTCTAAATCAATTAAAATTACTAATTGAACCAGCTATTGTCACACATAAGTAAGGTAAAATTGCTATTCCTCTTTTTGATTCTTTTACACCTAAGGCTGTAAAAGTTTACCATAGATGGAAGATTATTCGCTCACCTCATTTCACTTCTTGAATATCATCAGATAAGCATCTGAGCAATACTTTCTTATCTGCACTCCTTGTTTAGTACAGTTATTATTATTTATGTTTTTGCTTGTTTTATGATTTTAATGTTTGCCCCTCTTGCTGCCTTGCCAATGATTTGTGCTATACAAATAAACCTGCCAACCTTTTTACAAAACCATACGATGAGAAACAGAAACACAAATCTAGATATTCAGGTGAAACTAAAGCATCCTTCCTCCTCCTTTTCTGTACTTTAAAATTTACCTATGACACAGGACAGCTCCAGGTTTTGTCAAGTGCAATTTAACACATTTTTTGATGCCACATGGGTCGCAATTTATGCCACATGATCAATGAAAATGAGAAAGAAAGGCTTCTCGTTTTCACTCTCAACTGCCATCCCAATTCTGAGCTCATCGCCATTAGCCTCAGCTGCACACCTTTAAACAGAGCATCGCCGTCCTGATTTCTAACTGCTGATTGTGCAGCAACCCACCTCCTCCCCATCACCACCTCTTCAGTGGAGGAATCTTCATGTTATTGGCTCACCTTCCACCACCACCAGGGCTTGCAAAGCTCATATTCCTCTTCATACGTCATGCAATATTTCTGCCAGGGTCTAATCACCAAATCGCTGTCTTGAGTGTTTCCAGATTGACATTTTTAAAAGATCAAAAATTTGAGGAGACAGACCAGAAGCGGAGCCCTGAAACTGTATTAGCAAAAGAGGACTACAACTACCTGACTTTTTAACTAAATTAAAGTAAAACATGCAAGAAAAATGTAGGGAAATGTTTGTAAGAAACCAGGTCGAAAGTGGGCTGGATTCAGGTGCTCATAGCTGTAAGGTGACAAAGAGGGCACGACTCAGCAAACACGGCCCCATTGAGACGTTAACCAGCCGAGATAAAGTAAACATGCGGTCTGGGAATGTCCATCCCAGAGCCTACATCCGAGACATAGGCTGAGTTTACACGGAGACAATGTGGCAGTAAAACGGTATAGTTGGATGTCGGTTGCTACCAACCGTTCATACGGAGACTGTGTTCCAGGGGGGTGAAAACGTAAGTGTTCAGATTCAGCCTGCAGAGTGGGACAACTCAGAAACGCTGCACAGCGGGGGCTCTCTTTCACACCCGCGAGAGGGGAAAGGTGTGAAATCCCCCTCTGCTCTGACCCCCGCGTCCGCGCTGCTCCCGCACGTAAATTTGGACATGCGCAGTAGCGGAGAACAAACATCAACAAAAATGGCGCCGCGCGCACTAACTAGCTACGTGGGCTTCCAGCGCGGGACAGAGGATAATTCTACTCCTTCGTTCGTCCAAACGAGACCACACGAAGCTCTAGGTTCAGTTTCCATTTTCACAGCTGCTGTTAAAAGGCAGAATGATGTTGGTACGTTCTGAGGGTCTGGCACAGGAAGTGAGTACTCTGCCGAGACCAGGGCTGGGCACTGGGCTGGGGGTCGTGTGAGTGTTGTAAAGTTTCTCTGCCCACTACTGGCCGGGCGCTAGAACTACATCGTTTTTCAACCTCATGTGAACGCTGAGAAATTGGCATTAGGAGCCAGGTCGTTTCTGTTAATAGCCTGGAAACGTCTGCGCAGCATCTCAGTATAAACAGGGCCATAAAAAGGTCGAATGGAGGACTATCATCAGTCACAAAGATAACAACCTTCAACCTGGGACAATGAATCGACCACAGAACCAAACATCTCTGCCCTCCATTCCGGCAAGATCAAAGATCAAATCGGGTCTGCACACTCTCTAAGGACTGAGGACATTCTTCCCAGGCAGACTGGCGATCTACCAACGGCGTTCTGACGCCCCCCAGTGGACACTGGACACTAGCACACCCGAGATGGACATTCGAAACCATCGCTCTGGAAGCCAGTATTCTGATAACCTTTACTGGCTCTACCCGGGTGTACCATTGTCTGTAATGTAAACGCGCTGTGTGTCTGTATATGTGTTATGAACGTCAATGTGTTTGTATTGTGTGTATATGCCGTATAACACATCTGTCCAGGGAGACGCACAAAGATGACGTCATAGACGCGCCTCATTGGACACAACAAAACCACAAGCCGCTCAGAGAAACTTCCTCTTGGCATCATCGTAATCAACTTAGCAACTCAGGTACGCGTCTCCAACGCGACCTCTGGGCCTGCAACAACTTGGGCCCCTATACCTCCACGAGGACAGCTAACAACACCCGCTGTCGGAGACCACAAACTCTCACCCACCTGCCACTTTCCGGCTCTCTGGACGCCTCCACATGCGACGCTTTTCTAGGCAGCGTACGTGTGTGGGGATTTAAAGTTTGGATCGAACCGGCTGGCCTTTGTCTCTCTCTCCTGCCCGAACAAAGGAGCACGTAGACTGCCCACCCCCTTCCTTTTCTTCATTCCTCGGTTCTTCAATACGGACTACGTCAAAGTAAGACTGTTCTAATTGCCACGTTAATGTGTGATTCACGTGATATGTTTAACATCTCTGTTTAATGTGACCAAACCCCTCCTCGTTGATATTTTTCTATTTTCGTATGTAGTCAATAAACCCACGATAAACTTAAGTCATCGTCAAAGTGTCCTTTTTATAAATCTTTTGATATCCCTGGCTGGTTTCGAACTCAAAACCTATCAGATTGTGAGACTGATCGAGGCAGATTAGTATTGGATCTATTGCAGACTTTCACTGTTCTGCTGGTGCCCCTAAAATAAATTCAGATCCCCCTCTGTGGAACGGCTTCCACAGTACAAAATTCTTACCCTACATAGCGATTCTGCCTCTTTGGTACCAAAAGGGTTACACAGCTTCTGCACAGCTTCTGGATAATAGGGTTTATGTACTGTAACTGTCATGTTCAACACATAACAGTGCAATAACAGCGCCTTAATTTGAACATGGATTTTACAAAAGAACATTAAATAAAGTAAATGTCAGGCACAGAGTTTTTAAGTTGTTAGTTTCACCAAATGTCATTTCCATTCCACATTCGCTGCGTGGAGTGAATGCAAGCAGTATACCAGATGGATTTCTGGTCTGATTGGGGTGCTTGTTCTGTGTGTTGCGGGTCCATTGTGGCGAACAGCTGTTGGATTTGCCAGTGTGCTGGACAGTGACTGGGAGCGTTTGAGTGACATGTTCACTCTGCTCTTCTGACAGCAACACTACGAGAGGCTCAGGAGCTGTCAGGCCTCATGACCTCCAGCTCCTTGCACACACATACACACATACACACACAGACACACACAGACACACACACACCCACCCACGACAGGACGGCTGCACTTTATCAGGCAGATAGGTTTTAGTATGAACTGGAGCAAAACCTGGCTGTCAACAGAGATCTGCTAAGTACAGAATTTTATCCTCTACGTATATGACACATGCATTATACAAGGTCAAAATCATCAGGGGAGATCCATCCTTCCATCCATCCATTTTCTTCCACTTTATCTGTTGCCAGGTCTACACACACTTCCTCCAGGTCATTCAGGGGAATCCTGAGGCATCTTCCCTCGGGTCTCACCTGGGCTCTCCTCTGGATGAGACATATTTGGAACACCTCCCTAGTAAGGCGTCCACGAGGCATCCGAATTTCAACAGGCTCTTCTCAACATGGAGAAGAGTTAACAGCTCTACTCCAAGCTCCTCCTGTGTGACTGAACTCCTCTCTCTAACTCTGAGGGAGCGCTCAGCCGCTCTGCAGAGGAAACTCAGGGGAAAATGTTGTCGAAAAAGTGGTATAACTTTTACTGTTACAGTCATTTCACACCTGAGAATAAACTTTTTCCAACAATGGCAACCTGCCACATATCAAGGATCCCGTTTCAAGATAAACGTAGTTCTAGAATAGTCTTTAGTGTCACTGTGACTCGCAAAGAAACATCTTCGCGTTTCGTTGCAGATTCAAGACTTGCGGATTTGAGGCAGATCCCCATGAACAAAGTGGATCCCCATTCTCCGTCTTCAAGCCAAATACTCTCGTCATATATTTACACCAAAAACTAATTTTCTCCAAGTTGACATGAAGCTGATGTGAATAAGAACAAGTGACTTGGCATTTATTTTTGTTTTTATCGTGTGCTGTGGTTTTTTGTTTTTATCTTGCAGTGTATTTTAACCTTATTTATAGTTTTAAGGACTCGCTATAGTCACATGTTTTTATCACATGGCTTTTACCCCAATCCCTGCTGCACCTGTGTCTGGCGGAAATTGGAGCAAATAAAAGGAGCGCAGGAGCCACGACAGAGACAGAGACAGAGAGGCAGAGAGACAACAAGCACGCAGGAGCAGGAGCAGGAGCAGGAAAGCCGCGGCACCCCACCACAAGCAGGACGAGCAGGACGGCACACGCATCGGGACTACAGCACGCTGAGACCGCAAGTGTTGCGAGGCGATATACACGCAGAGGCAGAGGGGAACTCTGCCTTCCGTGTGAGTACCTTTTGGGGACATAGTAACACTTGTCGGATAAAGTTAGATCGAGCACATCACTGTTTAGAACGTTTGACTGCCGCTAGTGATTTCCGCGTAGGTGTCTCAGCGTGCGGAGGACGAGAGCCAGACGGGAGGAGTCGAGACTAAGTGAAGGAGTGTTGTGACGCTGAACACACGCAGGGGCAGAGGATAACTCTGCCTTGTGTGTAAGTATTGTAGCGACACTCCACCATCGTAGCCTAAGGCCTTATAGTTTCGGACACCCGTACTGGCGTATGCTTTGCATTCTAGGTGGCCCCGTGCGTGTGACCCAGGTTGGAGTGCTGCCCTGGACCAGGAGGGAGTGGGACCTGCCTGCACCTGACTGTGGACCGTGCCTTTTAGTAGTTTAACCTTTTTTTAGCCCACCTTGTTTTTAATGGACTTTTAACAGTGTTTTTATTTGTGGGCATTTTTTTTACTGTTTTAATTATTCCTTGTATTAAATTTGAATAACTTGCCACGACCTTTTTGCCCTCCTTGGTAGACAAGTGTGCTCTCACCCGGTCAC